ATATATATATATATATATATATATATATATATTATATATATATATATATATATATGTATATATATAACGCCGTACTTAAAACCACCTATTTTCCTTATCCTTGAAAATTCTCCATAATAAAAATGATTATAAAACCCAAAAAGCCACCTGAATACCCATCCTCTTACCGTCCTATCTCCCTACTTCCCATCATAGGAAAAATACTATAAAAACGTATATTAAAACGCCTTTACCCAAACATAGACTCAAATCATTTGATTCCTAACCATCAGTTTGGATTTCGGACATCTCATTCCATAATTCAGCAGTGCCATCGTGTGGTGGATGTCATTTTTCCAACACTGGAGCGCGGAATGTACTGCACGGCAACTTTCCTCGATGTGGAACAGGCTTTTGATCTGCAGGTTTACTGTACGAACTCCGTCAATTCCTACCCTCTACATATTTCCTATTAATCCGCTCTTACCTCACAGATAGAACCTTTAAAGTAAATTGTAACTCTGCTTATTCATCTTTCTTTTCCCAGTCCGCTGGTGTTCCTCAAGGGAGCATCTTAGGTCCCATCCTTTACACAGTATATACAGCTGATATCCCTACCTATTCTTCAACCGTCCTCACTACCTATGCTGATGACACGTGTGTGTTGTCTGTCAATAATGAAACAACTATTGCATCACAAACCATGCAGTCACACATTTCAGCCATTGAAAAATGGTGTGCAAATTGGAGAATTAAAAGTAATCCCAACAAATTACTTTTACCCTTCCCCGTAAACGTACAACATCCTGTCCCATCGTATCCTTAAACAATATTCCACTGATCCCCGTCCAACAGATCCGTTGCCTAGGACTCCTTCTTGACAAACGCCTTACCTGGAATCCTCACACTAGACTTAAAAGACAAGAAACTGCCAACAGATTCCGACTACTACAACACTTACTTGAAAAACGCTCTAAACTTCCAATATTTCACAAAAAACTCAATTACACTACCATCATCAGGCCCATTTGGACATACGATATTGAGCTTTGGGGCTCTACAAAAACATCAAATTCTTCCCGTATGCAATCCATACAATCCAAAATCCTCCGTAAAATCCTAAATGCTCCTTATTATGTAACAAATAAAATTATCCATAAAGACCTCAACATTCCTCTTGTGGAAGACTTGGCCCGAACTAGATATACCTCTTTTCATTCCAAACTCTTTGGTCGCCCCAATCCTCTAGTTTGTAACCTTTCATCCAACACAATTCCTGACAACCCTTCGAGGCGTCTGAAAAGAAGATGGCCAAGGGACCTCCTAAATTAATTTATCTTTGAAGTGGTACCAATGGGTAGCTTCTTCACAAGTACCTTCATGTAATATATTCCTATAGCAGATTTACTGGATGTATATATGTTTACAGTTGTAAATTTCAATAAAATTATAAAAATAAATATATTTACATATAAAATATAAAAGCTTGCTGCCCAATTATATTGGGTTGCTAGACACACAGCATACTGGTTAATCCGTAGAACAATAAATAAAACTTATATACAAGTATACAGAAGTGGTTAGAATACATGGGTATAATATATATATTTTACACTTAACTTTCCTTTTTCTCCCTTCTCTCTTTTTATACATCTCGCTTGTATACCGTATTAAAATTATTTAATAGAACAATAACAAAAAACAAAAGGGTATATTCATCTAGAATTAAATACAATTTAGTATAAAATAAATACAATAAACATTTTTCAATAAATAGATACATAAATTAAAATTTATCATATAGCCAATTCCAGAAATGGCTAAAGTATTATTGGTTTGAGACCCTGACCAGCGACTCGAATAATTACTTGGAGCAGAGAGACTATAATAAAGTATTGACTAACAAGGGGAGGTGTCACCGATTTCAATAAAACTTTTTTTGATGATACTAGGTCACAAAATATTAGACCCGTAACTGAGGTTGCTTATTAGGAAAACTAGGTAACGAAAAAAAAATTTATATAATTTAAAAAAAAAAATTGTTATTAATTTTTGGCTTTGCTTTGCCCAAATTTTCAGGTTCTTATGTACCAATTGTTTACTTTTTTTTTGCACAATAAGAAAAAAATATTTATTACAGTTGTTTAGGGAACACATCAAACTTCCCATTTAAATTTAATTTAAATTAAATCAAGAAAAAAACAACACAGCTGCGATCTCCAGCATACTGACTATATATATCATATGTTAGGAAGAGTGCGCCATTACTGAAGCTTAGACGCTCAGGTAGAGTAAGATACTCACTAGACTGGCCAGGTAGAAAATTCTTAATTCCACTGATTTACTGGAAATGGAGTAAAAAACTACAGCGTCCGGCAAGGGGCCAAGAAAGGAAGAGAGAGAAGATGAATAAGAAGACTGGCAAATAGAAAAAAAAAATGCAAGTATCCCAACCCGCCTATATTTAAAGTGTATAAATTCCAAAATGATTTAAACTTAAGCAATCAATTTTACATCTTCACTTTTTTATTCCACTAACTTCTTTAATTTTACAGTCCACAGCAATAAATTCTATTACCAGCTAGTAAAGCAGAATTATGTCAATATCCCTGACAGCCGTAGAAGGGATTGGCATAATATATTAAACAATAGTATAAAATGAGTTATTAAGTATCTTAAATAACAAAAGCTAAAACCGGCTTCAAGTAAAGTAGGCCATGTAAATGTTTGCAATGAAAAAAAAAGTTACGCTAGTTTTTAGTGTTCTTTAAAACTACTAAATACGATTTTTTATATATATCAAAAATTGGAAATTATAGTACTTGATTTTCTAGGGGTATTTTTTTTTCGGCCGTCAACAGCAGCATGCATAATTTCTCAGAATTTTATCCAGTTTCAATATTTGTACAACCGTGGGAAAGCTGAATTGCCGCTCTTCAAAACCACATCAAGAGGTTTTCAAATTCATAACTTTGTAAGATAAAAATTCGGAAACTTATCAAGCATTTTATTTAATACCTGTGGTTCTAATTTTGTTTACGGAGTTCGCCTTTATACAATTTTGGTTAGATTCAGTGGAGTCGTTATTCCAATTTTTTTGGGTGGCGACATTTCCAAGGGTCCAAATATTAACATTGTTTCTCTCTAAAAAAAAAAATAATATATATATATATATATATATATATATATATATATAAAAGAAATATCTACCTGCCAAATACAATATTTTTACTAAACCAGCCGAGTATCTAGAGTAAAGAATTTTTTTGAATGAGACAAAGTCGATATCCGTTTTTAGTACACCGAAAAATTCTAACATACAAATTTTCATAGCAATCGAAACATTAAAATTTGTGCATCATATTTTACCAAGCCTGGAAAGTTCGAAATTTGACTTCTTCTCTTCTTCATCCTGTGTGCCTTTCAGTGTGGAGGATACTTCAGCCACTTCGACCATACATCCCTGTCTCTTGCCAATTCCTTCATCTGACCTAGGGTTTTTCCTCTATCCTTACGTAGTCACTGAATATGTTCTTCTAGGCCTACCCCATGGTCTTCTGCCTATTGGCCTCGCTTCCTTGCATTTCCTCGGTACTCTGCTTTCTTCCATTCTACACATGTGCCCATACCATCGAAGTTGCCGGCATTCCATAGTTTCTTTCAGTGAGGGTATCAGGAGTTCCTCTCTTATTCTTTCATTCCTCACTCTGTCTCTCCTGTTTTTTTCCCAAAATTCTTGGCAAAAATTTCATTTCAGCAGCCGTAATCCTGCTTAAGTGTTTGTCTTCCCTGACCCAGCTTTCGCTGTCATATAATAATGTAGGGAGATATACTGCTTTATGGATGTGGAGTTTGACATTACTTACTACCTCTCTCTTTCCCGCAATTGTGTTGCAAATCTGGTAATATATACTGATTGCTTTCTTTATCCTGTTGGAAAGTTCTTGTTCTATTTTCCCATATTTGTTAAAAATTGTTCCGATGTACGTGTAGTAGTCTACTTTCTCCACTGCATGTCATTCTTATATTTTCCAAATCCTCCTCATCTCTTGCTACAGTCATGACCTTACTCTTGCGGCTGTTGATACTCACTCCTTTACGAGCGAGTTCTTCCTGCCATTCTATAATGGCCTGTTGCAGTTTTTTTTGAGTGTCGGTCACTAGCACGATGTCGTCTGCATATAGGAACGCTTGAACTATCTTCATGTTCCACATGCCTACTGCAGTCCAAGCAGTTCTTCTTCTGCATATTTTGTGGATTTTGTCCATAAAGGTGATAAAGGTGGTCCATAAACAATAATGGGCTCAAGCCATCTCCTTGTTTCACACCTGGCTACATTGGAAATGGCTTGGACTCTCGGCCACATATACGCACTATTCCTTTGGGGCTATCGTATGTAGATTTTATTTCTACCAGAAGGACCTTGGGAATACCATTTCTTCTAAGTGATCCCTATATTTCACATCGGGGCACTGATTCGAAGACAGCATTTAAGTCTAAGAAAGTGTAAATAACCCTGTCTACTACATATCCCTACCGTTGAACTTTTAAATTTTGTGTTCGAGTGAGAACAACAAAATTTAAGAAAAATGACCGTGATGAAATGAACTTTTTGGGTAATGGAAATTTGAATTTTGAATGTGCATACTTAAAAATCATACCTAAATGCACTGATGTATCGACGAAAAAAGAAAAAAAAAATATTTAAATGATTATATACAAAATACACGATATATAAAAAATCAGCAGTTTTAGGTGTAAGAGAAAATTTACTGGATAGTTTAAGATGAACATCTAAATCTATTATCCCTAGTTAAATGCGCATATAATCTGTAAAAAAATGTTTGAAGTCCACAATGGAAATAAATTAATTTGTAATTTATATTATTTATTATTAAACCAGTTTATTTATTACTATTATTTATTTTATGTATCTATTTATTGATTTTTTATTTTATATCCATAAGACAAGCCTCAGTTTGTAACCACAAATTTCCAAAAGTTTTATTTTAGCATTCTCCTAACCTGAGTCTATAACGACAATTTTTTGTTTTATCCGGTAAGGTCCCTTATCAGGTTTAATTTCTTCTGAATACCTGATGTCCATAACTTGGTCATTAGGTTTAGAAGATCTATCATTAGTTGTGATGTCGGTTAAAGTTTCTCCTTTTTTATCTTCACTTACAATGTCAACATTAGTCTCTTCTATTACTGGAAAATTAGGGTTGATGTTATCAGACCTATACTCATCTTCCTTCATTAATTCATTTCCAATTAATATTTCTTTTTCTTCATCAATGTTCTTCTCTTTCTCAGCTCCGGAAGGCTCACTATCATTGATTATTTCGACCATAGATTCTTCAGCAATAATAGTATTCTCACAATCCTTTCCATCGGTGGTTTCCTTTATTTCTTCATTAGCACGACTTTCATCTAAATCTTCATTATCATTAACTACAATGTTGTCGGTAACTGGTATATTTATAGGGTACTCATCATGTTTAGTCTCCATAGTATTTTCATCATCATTACTTCCTAGTGGTTCCTCATCTTGAAAAGAGCAGCTCTGTACAATAGTGACATCTTCAGACTCAGTTTCTTGTTTAATGGTAGTTTCCTTAAAATGGGCTGTTTCATGCCTTAACTCCATTTTTCACTACGGTGTCATTTTTTTAAAAGTATTTATCTAAAGTGTAATTTAATTTTTCTGTATCTTTTCTTTGATCTTGGAACTCCGATCTTACTTCCAGTTTGAACGATGTGAGTGCAGCCAAAATGGCCGCCGTATCAAAACTAAGCTGAGTTGTTGCTTGCTCATTTGTTTGGAGTTGGTACCGACCTGTGATCTCAGCCATGTTTGTTTGTAAAGAGATCTCGTCTATCCCTACAATTTCACTAACGACTGGGTTATTTGGCATAATTAATTTCTGTGCCAAACAGAAATATGAAAAATTCAAATGTGTTCGGAAAACGGTTACGTATTTTTTCGAAACCTACACACGGTTTTAACAGTTTAGCGTGGTCTTCGAGCGACGTCATTTTGAAATTTCGAAATAAACAAACTTATTTATTATTTAATAAATTGAATGTTAATTAATATTCTGCGACCCAATCAACAGTTTACTTCTGTTTGGCGCCAATTGTAAATGACCGAATAAAGTTAAATGTAAATATTGTTTTGGCGAGAATAGGCAAATAGCCTTCCGTTTATATATCGGGGAACTAGGTTATTTACACTCCTGATAATTAAAACAAAACTCCGGCACTGGAAATGGACTTTTTTGAGGGTGTTTAACTGTTGTTGGGAATTTAATACCTTTTGTGACATTGAGTGAGAAGAAACAATAAGAATATATATATCTGAAATGTGGGACTTAGTAAACACACTTTAAATGAATTGACTCACCTGGTTTATTCTTCAATTGTGATGCCTATAGGACAACTAAATAAAAGGATTATTCACTCCTGTCTAACAAAACAATTTATTTATTTTAGCAACTGATATAAGTGAATATATTAAAGTCTAATAACCGTAGGCTTGATATTCATGATCTTCAATGTACTAATAGTGATGGGGCCATATGGCCGGAGCTGTGATTCTGTCACTGTGACTGGGCCGGAGCTGTGATTCTGTCACTGTGACTGGGCCGGAGCTGGTGATCACAGAGACAGGCGCACCAAAATCACAGTGACAGTCACTGTAGGAGCTGTGAAATCACAGCTCTGACCACTCTGCTCTATTATTTATTTTTCGTTCTAGCGATCTGGGCATTGTTGACTTCATTAATTTAATAAATGAATTAAAGAAATAATCATGAACTAATTATTTCTAAAATAATAGTTATTCGTCAAATTTTATTAAAAATACTTTTTGAACTTCAGATGAATTGAGCATTCATTCGCGAGTTCGCGTCCCGGTGCCGGAGGGGATTCCAAATTCTCCGCCCTCACCCCCAGGTTCTTTATTTAGTTTTACAAGCTTTCTGGATTTGTTTATTTTTGCGAACAATGTTGCGCGCCTTATGAAGGGACTGTACCTTCTCTTCCTTGCTCCACTTCCTCGGTCTCTTCCTCTCCGGGCTCCGGCGGGCGTCCTCTTCCAAGGGTGAAATGCTCCGGTCCCACCACCTCCTTCCATTTCCTGACGTACTCAGTGAAGTAAGGGTAGTCCTCGACCATCATCCTCGGTAGTCCGCCTCTTCCATAGTATATAGTCCTGTCATCCTTAACAACCAGGCTCTATACCCAGCCATCTTTTCACACCTCAGGATTACATGCTCCGGCGTGTCCGGAACCCCACAGCTGAGACACAAGGGGTTGATGTTCTTGCCATACTTATTCAGCTTGGCTCTGAAACTCCCGTGTCTCGAAAGGATCTGCGATATTCAGTAATCCGGATTCACTCACCTCGCCTCCATGCTGGAACTAACGGTGGGGAAGTAGTTTCTCAGGGTCGAACCCTTCTCGCTTCTCACCCACCGCTCGTTCCACTCCTGAAGTGATTCCTCCTTCACCAGCTTCTTCCATCTTCCTGGCTCCTCCTCAGCCCTTCGTAAGCGAACCGGGTCCGTGTCTTTTCACATCGAACTTGATTATGTCTTCCTTCAGGATCAGGTCGATGAGCATCTCTCCTGTCAGCATTTGCACCGACTCGTGCGACACCGTTCTGTAGGCTATAGTTACTCTCAATAGGGCCAGTCTCTGGATAGTTGCCAGTTTTCCGCGCTTATCTTTTGTGAGTCGCCGGATCCACGCAGGCGATGCGTAGCTAATTATTCCGAGGACAATACCTTTGTAGATTGTTTTGGTCGCTGGGTGACTAGATTATCACAAATGCACTTCCTATCCTCGACAGGCCATTTAGTGTGTTAGTCACCCAGCCTCTCAGGTACGCAACGTGTGGTACAAGATATTTTTTATCTTTTGTAGCCCTGACGAAGACTAGCAAAGTGGGTCGAAAGGTCGGCCTAATAATCAAATAATACTATTTCTATAATTTAGTATTTATTTTACCGCACCCCCCGATCAACTCCTCATATAATTAAAATAGGTTGTGAACAATCCAAAGACCGTGAACAGATCAGCGGTGCTTCACAGGGTTCTATCCTTAGCCCAACTCTTTTCTGCTTGGCTATAAATGACCTGGGACTCAACTTGCCAAGAGGTGTCAAACCACTATTACTTGCGGATGACTTAGCCATCATCGTTCGGAAAACATCCATAGAACGTAATCTACAAGGTGCCATAAACAGAATAAACAACTGGTCTCTTTCCACAGGTCTCGTGGTACCTACTGGGGCTCAGATAGTTCCACGCTACTAAAAGTTTATCACGTTATGGTGTGCTCAAAACTAGATTATGGGTGTTATGTCTATGGTTCAGCCCGTTAACGTGTCCTGAGTAAACTGGATGTGGTGGATCATACCGGGATTCGGACAGCGACTGGCGCTTTTCAAACAATCCCCGTTCTCAGTTTTTGTTCTGAGGCAGGAGTACCCCATATTTTGTTTAGAAGGAAAAAAATGACAGTCAATTACATTAAACCAAAATTTATCGCAGCTTTCGCAAACAAAGCGCATTCAACAATTCCTTTATCAGGGAGACTCAATTCAGCTATGAAGTCCCTCAAAGGAACACCGTTGATCAACCAAGAAATTCATAACACTCCAGGGACAAAAGAACCGCCAAAAACAATCCTAAACCGGACCAAATTACCCCCCAAAAAAACTTCACCCACTGAATACTAAACCAAATTTGGATCAAAATGTTCTTTATAAATCTCGAATTTAACTAGTTTCAGACTCACACTTCCAATATAAAATATCCATGAAAATTAAGAAGACACAGTACAGTTAGTGTTAAATTTTCTAAAATTAAAAAACTTGTTAAACAAAATATAAATTCAAATCTAGTTCAGATAAACATAATTAGACACAGGCGTTGATGCTCTCGAGATTTTACGCCTTAAAATCCCAACTAACAACAACGACAAGAGAGGGATGAGAAGAGTGATGTAGAACTGCTTGCGTAAGGTTATTCATAAAACTACGCATCAGATGTTAGATGAAAGAAATGTTAAAAGAAATTATGATTAATGAATGAGTGCCGAAGAGCTACTAATGAAAATAATAAAACTGAAAAAAAATATTGCAGAAAGATACAAGGAGTAACAGTGAAAAGTGTTAAGAAAGGAGAAAGAAAAAATAACAAGAATAGAAGTAGAAAAAAGTGAAGGATATAGGGGGATTAGGAGAAGGCAAGCAATAAAGAAAATATTACCAGGTTTGAGGAGAATAAGAAACGATTTCAATCGAGAATGAACATATGTCGTGATAAAAATGGTGCGATGCTCGGAGAAGATATGCAAATGAACGGTAGGTAGGCAGAGCAACACTGGCTGTTCTACAATATGATGTTGATGATTTTTTTTTTATACTACAGAGTACGCTAGTAGTATTGTGGAGTGCTACTATAATACTGAGCATAATATAGATATAGAGCTATACTTGATTGACAAGGGTTTTGACCAGGCCAGTTGGCCCAAACTGTTTCAAGCCCTTGAAGAGTTTAAAATTTCTAAAACTGGTAAATCAGTTCAAAATGACCAAGGCTCAAACATTAGCTAGTGTCCTCATTGGTAAATAAACGAGGATGAGCCTCATGGTTAATGAGCCTGCGACAAAATTCGTTAAATTGAAGCGCTATAAAGGATTAGTTTATGAACAAGGTAACATACTAAACTCTACATTTAGAACTCGTATAAATCAAAATAAATTGAAAAGAAAAACTGAGGACTAAGCGCAATTTGATATATCAGATACAAATTTTCAAGATATTATTTCATGTTAGAATAATTACATCACATTATGATTACATCAGTTATGGTTCACGAGAATTGATATAAGAATTTTATCTGATTATTCCTCAAAATAAACAATAGTGATAAAACCTTTTCCATACAAAACAAAGTAATAACAATAATGTAAATAAAAACAAATTATTTTTATTAAAACTAACTTCATATTTTATTTTAAATACAAAGCAAACATAAAGTATATAATAGAAATCAAACTATTTTTGGTTTATAAACCAGAGGATATATACTAGAAGTTGATAAAAAATTTAATAAGTTGTTTTACCAAGCATAATACTTGCATGAACTAAATGGAAAAACTAAATCTGACTGAAAATTCGCAAAATAACATCAAATTAGAAGCTTATCGGAAATTCCAACAGTAAATAATTTTCGAAAACCGAATTAATCAATAATAATCCCAATAAAATTAAATCATAAAAACAAACTAAGTTACAGGAGGTATTACAATTAAAATATAATGCCAAAATGACAAGTCAAATAAAATATATTTATAGTATAGTATAGACACGTTTTACCAAAATTATAGGGAAAAAAAGAAGAAATATTCAGCTAATAATTGAAGAAAGAAGGATAAATGATTTATCAATTACCAAAGCGAAGACAGGTCACACTCACAGATAGAGAAGCGAGCCAAGACTGACTGCCGCCCCACCACTAGTTTCCGCTAAGTACAAAAGACTTCCGGCTATTCTTGGGCAGGTAGCTCGTCACAAATGCCACCACTTCCAATTCACCAATTGAATACATGCAAAAGAACCTTTTCCCTCTCAAACGATAATCCAGGGCAGTTATGGGCACGGGGGAAGGGGAAACGACATCCCCTAGCGCTTTGACCTATCCTCACTAGTATCAGCCTACATAATTACTTTTTATCTCTAACTCCATAAAACTGGATCAAAATCCCTAATAAGTAATTTTTTTTTTTCAAGTAAATAAATCATAGTACAAATGCCTATTATTATGTTTATACAAACAAAT